AACTTTTCCTTACTGTCTACCATGTTATTAAAGCTGTAACTGCCCTTGTCAATTAAATCATTTCTAAAGAACTTCATCATAATCAGAACGTACTTACTAATCTGCAGACTGCTACAACGTTTTCTTTTCTTTCCTGATTTGCTACCGTAATAAAAAGGTATGCATACTTTGAATTCAGTTCTTTTTACATAGCATACTCTATAAATGCCATGCTATTTGAGTTTTGTATTGTCATCAACTACTCCACTGAAAGAGCAGAAAGCAAATGGGATTCTATCCAGATTAGTGTAGTTAATGGTGTGTGAAACAAAGTAAACAAGTCATTATATTTCAGGAAGGCAAATGATGCCTCTGCAATGCAGAGGCAAAAGAAGAGCTAAAAAAGGGACCCATTTTATTTTGATCTAGGTCCTCATGGTCACAGAAGCTATACACAGTCAAGCCTACAAGCAATTACATTTTGATGTTTTGTTGAAGTCTGGGTACATGATGTATGTGCACTGGGAGTGTTAGGAAAAACCCACTGCTTCCGAAGCCCTGCAATGCATCTTGCTGATGATTTACTGAAAACTGTTTTCAGGTAGCCCGCTAGTACACTCTTAACTATGTTTTCTCCTCTTCTGTGACAGTTGAGTCAGTCATGAATTACTGTATATTGGATGGCCAAAATCCTGTTGCTTAGAGTAGTAAGTTGCAACTACAATAGGCCCAGTGAATTTATAAAACGTACGAAGGATCCCAAATGAGTCAATGGGCCTACTTTAGTTTCTCTGCTAGGCAACAGGATTTCAGCCAATGTCTGGCCCCACAATCTTTCTGTGTCTTTGGAAAGGAAGTTAATTTAAACATTTCTATTTATATACTTTCAATACAATAAATGTTACTCACTGTTGGGCAGCGCACCCTTGCCCCCCTTTTTTATGAGAGAAAGGGCTATACCAGGAACAATATTATTTGTGTAATTAAGCAATCATATAATTTAAAGCAAAAGATCATGGGAAGCCTAAGACAAATAACAACGAAGGATTTTTGTGTTGGAGGGGTGTTTGTGCTGGGGGACAACTTCTACTGATTCCAACATAGAATGCCCTAAATCAAGATAATGATGGACTCAAAGGTTCAAAGCTCTCTTTTCCCTGTTTGAAATTCCTTTCTGTCCTTTGCTTAAACGTTGGAGTTAAGTCCAATTGTTACTTTAACAAGAGTTGAGCAGAATCAACAGAGCTTATATAACAGAAAAGATAACTACGGGTTGATATGATAGCACTTTTCAAATACATGAAAGGCTGTCACACAGAGGAAGGGCAGGATCTGTTCTCAATCATTCCAGAGTACAGGACACAGGGCAATGGGCTCAAGTTACAGGAAGCCAGATTTTGGTTGAATATCAAGAAAAACTTCCTAACTGTTAGAGCAGTATGGCAATGGAACCAATTACCTCACAAGGTCGTGCGTGCTCCAACACTGGAGCCATTCAAGAGAAAATTAGACAACCACCTGGTAGATATCCTTTGATTTGTATTCCTCTATTGAGCAGGGAGTGGACGTGATGGCATTATAGGCCCTTCCAACTTCATAATTCTATGATTCTAAATGTTAACTTAAGAGTCCCATTCATTCAATGGGTCAACCCTGAGTAATTATTTGATTTAACCCCTATAGTGTAAAGTATAAATTTTCTGTGATTTTTCTACTATTGCTGCGAAACACCAGATTTTGGATTAAAAGGATGCACCATTCTTAACTTTATCCAAAATATTATCCAGAAAAAGAAAATGATTTAAGCAAACTGGAAAAAAATTCCCTCTAAAGAATGAGATTTCCAAAACTGTTACTAGCATTTTGGCTAGGCAAATATTTCATGTCATGTTCTAATTTATTTGTACTTTTATGCAATTTCCTGTTTCTTTTGAGAAGAAAATGCACCTAATAAGACAATGCAGAAATCAGCTTCTGGTGGAAATTAGCACTGTATCCCACAAGAAACTGGAAACATCCACAGGACCTGCTTATGAAGGAGTGACAAAGTCCCAGTATGTTTTATTATACCTCAAAAACTGTCTAATGTACTTTGGCAAAATCAATCTATGGCCTTCTTCAGGGCAATCACTTACCAATGCATAATGAAGATCCTTTTTGGACCAGTTCCCAGATTCAGTTAACTACTTTTTTTTTTAAAGGACACAATCATAAGAACTACCACTACTGCTATTTTCATCCACTTAAAAACGTTTCCAAACTAAGGTGCACCACTCCTCATTTAAAAATATCCTCTCTCTCTCTGTCCATTCATTTGCCAGAAATTTGCTTTAAAAAGTCTTTGCCTGTCAGCAAAGTGGAAGGACAGGAGAGAAGGGGCCAGGCTGGCTTACCCTGGAAGGGAATTTCATGACCTGCGAGCAGGTACCAAAAAGGTTTTCTCTTGTGTCCTCCTCAGAGATGCCTGTGAGGGCAGTAGGACCAAGAAAAGAACCTCCTCTGAAGATCCTAACATGTGGGAAATTCATATGGTGAAACACAGCCCATTAGATTTGTATTTCTAGGTGTCATTTTAATCAGATATCTGTTTTTATAGACAGACAACAGACATTCCCCATTCAGCCAACCCAAAAAAGTGTTAAATCATGTGAAGAGTGTGTGTATGGCTTTTCTGTCTCTTTTTACATTTACTTTCCTCACTTGTCTTTCCTTCCTATAAATCTGGTGCTACTGGATAGGCTGGTAGCCTTCCTCTCCTCCTGACTTTAAAAGGTTTAGAACTGAACACAGGTCTTCATCCTACCTGGTATGTGCTTTGGCTTGATATATACTATGAAGGGACAGACTTCACATCTTGAATTTCCAGGTTAGGGAGAAAATCATGTTCCTTTTCAAAAAGGAATTTGTTTGCATATATTGTATGTACATATAAGTACCTGTGGTACTGGACTGTAGACTACAGATTTACAGATGCTGTAAAGACCATAGCCAAAAACATTTTGCTTTGTGTTTTATTGCAATGCCCAAATGAGACTTGTTAAAAGGCATCTTGATATTTCATGCTGACGAGGCAGTATTCTATATTTGAACGCTCTGCTTTCTTCCTGATTGAGATACTGGAACACATCTGATTTTTGAAACATTTCTAATCCTTCTGAAACAGTAATCGTTGGTCAAGGGAGCATTCTTTGGGTAAAAAAGGGCTTTTAAAGGTATCATTTACAAGAGCTGAGCAAGGCTGTTGAGGACAGGGCATTCTGAAGATCATTTATTCACAGAGTCATCATAGGTTTGAGGCAACTTTATGACACATAGCAACAACAAAAATGTATCATATTTGCTCCGCCTGCCCAAAGAACCAGCTGGATAAAAATGCACAGAATTCGTATAATACCACAAGAATGTTCTAGATCATAGGTTCCCAAAGCGGTCTATATGGACCCTCAGGGGTCGATTTCAACTTGCAGGGGGTCCACGTCAGAGAGGAACAAAACTAGGGGTGCACAAGATGTAAATGGGGGTCTACATAAGCAAATCCCATTAGGCAGATCATAATAAATATTTAGATGATCCGTAATTACACCAAACACAGATTCTGTGTACATAATATTTCATAATATTATTTAATTAGGTACTATGTACTATCTGTATTGTAGTGTGCTACATTCATGTGTAAGTTCGTAAAATTATTGGTAAAATAATTGGAGGTCTACAGAAAACAAATAAGTTGGCAAGTGGTCTACGGGGCAAAAAAGTTTGGGAACCTATGTTCTAGATGGATGTAATCAATCATGCTTCTAGGCTTTTGAAATGTTATTTAGTAGTTAAACTGAGAAAACAATAAGGCCACAATCCCCTGCACAGGGATCTGGGACTAACCCCCACATAACATTATGTTGATATTGTATAGATTATTTTATTTTATTGTCTTCTTTGTATTGTTTGTCTTTATATTTTGTTTTATGGTATTATGTAAACCGCCTAGAGTGGCCTGGGTTGCTAGATGGGCGGTATAGAAATTAAAGAAAGAAAGAAAGAAAGAAAGAAAGAAAGAAAGAAAGAAAGAAAGAAAGAAAGAAAGGAAGGAAGGAAGGAAGGAAGGAAGGAAGGAAGGAAGGAAGGAAGGAAGGAACGAAGGAAGGAAGGAAGGAAGGAAGGAAAGAAAGAAAGAAAGAACGAAAGAAAGAAAGAAAGAAAGAAAGAAAGAAAGAAAGAAAGAAAGAAAGAAAGAAAGAAAGAAAGAAAGAAAGAAAGAAAGAAAAGAGAGGGGGGAAGCATATCTTATGCATAAATATGCACAGAACTGTGTTCCATATCCAACAAAATTAATTATGTCATAAAACGTAATTAAATCAGAAAGAAGCAAATTGGTTACAAGTGGATCTGATTGTCCATTTACTCAGATTGCTCCCCTGCTTTTCCCTTTCATAGAACTGATACCATTGGACAGGCATTGTAAAATACAATTCAATTAAGTGCAGATTGTGTGGTTGGTATCACAGGTAGAATTTAGAAAATTACTGCACAGTCTTGGGGCATGCATATTTTTATGCAGATACACATTGAAACTACAGATATGCCATTCTAAATGTCTTACACTCATACAGACTTTCTAGGTAGCACTGGAATCATGGAGGAGCAGATGTGTTGAACAGGAAAAGAGGTAAAACATAACTTCACAATTGTCCCATTCCACAAAGACAGCAGAACAATTCAGATAAAGAATATCATTCTATCTGATCCACTTCATATTCTGAGTGTTGACCATATTTAATTAAGTCATTCACAAATCCTCCTTATCTTACATAAAATACAGAAATTGTAATATTTATGATGAATGACAACATCCATTCATCCATTTATGGATGACATTCATTCACTTACGGGTGACACTGTGTATTTAATCTCAATTTTAAGAGGGAAAGTTCCAAGGATGTGTACAATTATTCCCATTTCACTTGTTTCCCACATTTCTCTTACATTTATTTCACAACCACAACATTCATAGATAGTATATTTACCTTAATCCCAGGTAATCCTGGTAGTCCAGGAAGTCCAGGTTCACCCTACAAAGTGAAATTATATAAGATTGTAAGAAAATATGAAATTATGCTCAGTATCCCCAGAACATGCAACATGAGTATTTAAGTCAAAATGAGATCTGTAATAAACACTAAGTAATTGCATGTAGAAAGCTGAACCAGCTAGTTCAGCCAATTGAACTATTCAGATGACCCCACCCCTAGAATTCTTCCATGAACTCAGCCTTGGACTGTTAGAGACTCCCTCTTACTCTTTGAGATAAATACCACTGCACATTCAAATAAATCTGGGATTTAAGGGGAGACTCAGAGTGAACATGCAGAGTTCAGGCCATTTCCTGAACTCCACCCCAAACAGAATGGAGTTCCTCTGAAACTAAGGCATCAGCAGGAAAAAGATCTGATTACAGCACACAAGCCAGTTTGGCCACTTGCTATAAGGATTAGAGGTTGTTATAAGGTAGTCTTTAAAAAGAAAAAGTTTTTCCGCCAAGCTCTGTCTAAAGCACCACAACTTTATTCTTCACTCAACATTGGTAACCCACTTAAACTCCGGGAAGCATGGAGTTGCCTACTGCTGCAGATTGCTACTGTGATATACTGCACTTTCAAGAAACTAAAGATTTTAAAACCAGAAGAGTGTGCATATATTTAGTTCAGACTAAATATGACAGAAGAGATCCGTATTTCCAGCAGTAATGAAAGGCATCATCTAGGGAGGGAACTTCATGTGTGCAGTGAAGCTCACTTACAATAACATTTGAACAATTCTGCATCTCTATATGAACATCTTTTTTCCTCAATGCAATTTTATAATAATTTTTTTTCCAAGCATGTTTATCCTGAATGTGGAATCTAGGAGCATCATGCCACTGGATCTCAGTATCAGACAGCAGGTCCCTTGAGCCAGGATCAATAATTGAAGCCCCTAAGCCTAGCTTCTACACTGAATCAGCACAGTTGACTCCAATTTCATGGTGAAAGTTATGCAAGAAGTACAGAAATGCTAGTAGTACAGGAGAAGTGGTAATGCTGTTATAAGCACAATATTGCTTAGCATCATTGCTTACAGCCTAGCTTCTACACTGAATCAGCACAGTCGACTCCAATTTCATGGTGAAAGTTATGAAAGAAGTATAGAAATGCTAGTAGTACAGTAGAAGTGGTAATTTATTGTACTATGCAGTGGCGGAAATCTAGTATTAAGTGAGAACAAGAATCAAAGGAACTGGCCAGTGGCGGAAATCTAGTATTAAGTGAGAACTAGAATCAAAGGAACTGGCTCATCAAATCTGATTCAATGGACCTACTGCTCTAGTCAAATCTCCACTGATTCAATGGACCTACTGCTCTATTCATGTCACAAATTTAGCTTATACAAGGACTTCTTGGTGTTGCCCCACATTTGTGGAAATCTCCTCCAATATAATATGCATTAGCCTCAGCAATACTGGCTTTAAAATAGTTCTGGGAAACCTGAAGCCTCATGGTGCAGTGGTTAAACTGCAGTACTGCAGCCAAAACTGTGCTCACAATCCAGGGTTCAATCCCAGGTAGCCGGCTCAAGGTTGACTCAGCCTTCTAGCCTTCCGAGGTCGGTAAAATGAGCTACACATTGCCCCCCCCAAGTCACTGGGGGGAGCAATGTGTAGCTTAAATAATTAACTGTAAACCGCCCAAAGAGTGCTTTGCTATTGACTTCACAATGTTTTTACATTTTTGGCTGAGTTTTTGTTTCTTCTTAAATTAACCGTTTAGTGTTACCAGATGAGATATTTTAGTTTTATGTTTCCATGAACCTTTATCTTGAAAGACAGTACAGAAATATTTGAAATAAATTAATAAGTAAATAAGTGAATTGGCTTATGGAACATCCAGATTAGAGATGGTCATTCTGGCTGAACTGTTTTAGAAACTATCGCCAAAAAATAACTTTTCCCATTGCAGCCCTAGATATCTTTTGGCATTTTCATCTGCAATGCCAAAATACCTTTTAGTCTGTATTGCATCACTTGCAAATGTTGAAATAATACAGAACTTTGAAAATGTTTGTTTTGCTTTCTTGCTTTGTTCAGAGATATGGGAAATGGAAATTTCATCTGAGTGATACTTACAAACACAGACCTTGATTTAGTTTTAAAAGTCCGACAATCCATCAGACACTGCTATTACACAGCTTGTAATTGTTATGAGTAAGAGTAAGTTTGGCCTTGGGGAGTTAGAGATACATGAAGGCAGCAACCTGGATGCTGACTTTGGAGGATTCCATTTGAAAGAACATCAGGAAGATAAATGATTGGTGCTGAAAATGAAGAGACCACTCAAGTGCCCCTGAAATGAATGGACCAAACACTGTACAATGCCAGTCTGCAATGGATGAATTGTACTGCAACAGTTTTCCCCAACAAAATGTTGGCTAGCCTCTAAATGCTAAGGCTTTGTATCTATGAATGATACTTCCTGAAAATGAAGAAGCCAAAAGCGCAGTACATAAATTCAATTCTACTATGAGTTCACACATCATTTATGGGAGGTCACAAATGAAATAGTGTTGTCAGACAGTCAGAGTGATTTCTCTAAATACGTTAGACACCATCGCAAATCCATCAGTTAATGCTAATTGATAGTCTTGGCTCTGTGCTGTTCAGAAATCTGAAGTGGAAACTGTAAAAACTCCAACCCAGAGATATATTGGGAGACCAGTAAATGACAGCTGGAACTACATCAGGGGTTTCCTGTGAAAATGAGTTTGTTATGAGCAGAGCACCATTGAATCCTCTAATGAAAAAGTCCAGGCAAAAAGCTTAGTACAGAACACTTAAGATAGACTGCAGATAAAACAATGAGGAGAAGCTGTATCACTTTTCAAGTTCTGGATTGTAGCTCTTACAAATATGTATAATCATTAACATGCAAAGTAAATTGAGGCAATTTTCTTCTATCCTCAAGCATATCTGATCAATATATTATTTTTTTTCAAATAGCATATTTTTCTCTGTGTGTGGATATAAATGAGAGTAAACAGTATAGAGTGCTCCAAGTACAATTTTTAGCAGTTTTTATATGAAAGGTTATATTGGAAAAGTTCCCAGTAACTGTGCCCTTTTAACACGTAGTTATACTATCATGCACCACTTATCATCTCATCATCTCAGCATTAAAGTGAAATTCATGGCTATGGATTTATTCATTGAAACCTCAAGCACTTGGTCAGTCATGAACATAATGGAGTGAGATCCACTTCATTGACGCCATATTACTGCTAGCTATTCCTTGACAGCACAGACAGAGTTCTGACTCCTGTCCTCTGGACATGCTGGCCACAGAGACTGGCAAAATGTTAGGAAGAACAACTTTCAGAACACGGCCAAAGAGCCCGAAAAAACCACAACAACCATCAGATCCCGGCTGTGAAAGCCTTCAAGAATACAGGATTCAAACTGTTATAAAACTGCCTTTTCAGTACATAATAACCTTTATATAAACAAATACTTTTATTAGTTTACTTATATATATAAACTTTAATAAATTTAGAAATACTTCCTAGTACGTAATAAACAATCTTAATATTTCATCTATTAGTTCACCTAAAATGGCTTCATTAGATTTTCTAATGAGGAACTTTAATATTCAAATTCTGTTTGCCTATCATAACATTCATTAAAATTCAAATTTAATAAATGAATATTACATTGTAATGAATATATTATGATTATTCTAATGTTATTTTATTAGTTTAGAAAATAATAGCCAGAATACAATTACTAGTTTACACTCGTGTAAGAAAAATCATGTACGATGTGCCTGCAAATTGACACTACTTAATAACTAGGTGCTGTTTTTGTTCTTAGGCACACATTTAGGAATAAAACAAGCACCTGGTTAATTATTGGGAATTTGTAGCTGTGCCTTCTGCCATCTCATGTATGCAAGCAAAAACTGAAAATTGGGTTCTGGGCATTATTTTGATAAATTAAGAATTGTTTTATTATAATAGAATCACAATAATTACCTAATATAATGTGCTATGCACTAATATAGTTTATTTATTATTGACATTTATTTCAAAAATTACCATCATTATTTCTAAAACTATAACAACAGGTTTTGACCTCAGAATATCCCTTCCTTGAAATTATTTTTAGAGCCATTCTTTCAAACACTCACATCCAGGATCTACCCCTTCTGGACACCAAAAGGCATAATATTTTAGTTTCTCAAATAGCAGTGTCTCCATGTGCCACCTCATAGAACACTCTTTAACGTGAAGCAGTTTCCAAAAGCGGCTTGCAATACCATGTGGGAGCAGGTGTAGCCTGTGAGCCAGTCAGGGGAGAAAGGTCTTAGCCTAACCAAACAAGCAAAGTACCTAATCTGGATCAAGGGCTCCAAGCAGCTGAAGGTCTGCTGCGCATATTTTCTAAGAAGATATTTCCTAGGGTGACATCTACAAATTACTTCTGTTGAACATCCTCAATAAACCAGAGGACAGTTTGTGGTGTTCCTGTCTATACAGTCTCTTCCCTTTTAAAAGGACTAATGTTCAGTTGAGTCCAGCGCTGGACTTTTTTATTCTATGAGGAATCAAACACAAATGTTAGAAATATTTGAACATTTTATATCACATTGCAAATTTTATATAAGATACCTAATATATTGGCATGTGTATTATCAGTATGATTCTTGGATATATTCCATAGTATTTATTTGCTACTTTGCAGGATTCGCAGGATTACATTTTTATTTATTTAAAGGGTTACCTTTTGTCCAGGACGACCTGATTCTCCAGGTTCTCCCTGGAAAAAAAGAATCAAATAATAAAAGACAAAGTCAGAAATAGGTGTGGGGATGGATTTCACAGTGAAGGAAAAGAAAGGAAATTCACCATCAGATATTTTGGTACTGATTTATAGCAAGAAACATACCATTTCCTTGCAATACCCTACCTTAATTCCTGCAGCAGAAGATCCAGGGTCACCCTGATTAATAAAATACCCCAGAAAGAATGATCATTGGTGAAAACGAACTGAATTTAACAGTTCTTGCAAATAAGCACAATCATCACATATTGAGTGATACAGTTTGCTATATGAGGATTGGAGAGATACAACTACAAAACCTTCTCCATCAGAAAGCTCACTAGTCTCCCATTGGCCAGTCATTAACTCTTAGTCTCACTTATCTCATAGGACTGCTGTGGCAATCAAATGCACGGTGGTGCTGATGTAGAGAAACTATATGAGCTGTTCTGAGTTCTGGGGAATCATACAGAGGATTTTCTGTCCCTTCCAAAGCTCCACTGGCTGTGACTGATTACAGTGTTGGTTTTATCTTCTTTATCTGAAGCTGATGCGGAAACTTCAGGTGGTGCAGAATGCGGCAGCCAGACTCCTTACTGGGGTGAGAAAATACCAACATATCTCTCCTACTCTGGCCATGCTGCACTGGCTGCCCATCCGTTTCCGCATTGACTTCAAAGTGTTAATGCTTA